GTCCAAGACGTGCTTCGAGAGGTGCATTCGAGAGAATGCGACAACCACTTCAGAGGGAAAACACTAGCCTGCCGCATGTAATGATAGGGGTACTTCTAGCCAACGCTCCCGAAGATGGTGCAGAATTCTCAAAAAAGGTGCGAATAGTGTCAAAGATATGTCCCCTTACATTATTAGTCGGCTTGGAAGCTACAACTAATAGTTAGTTCTTGGTCATTCGCCAAGCGAGGACTGGATACTTTCTGGTTTTTTCCTCCATGAAATAGCCAAAGAAAGTTCCTCGTTGTAGTGGTTTACTACTTTTCAAAATGGATCAAAACAAAATCACTCACTCAAAACAACATAGAGGCGATCCAAAACTTCATATGTTCCAATCTGCACTGCAGATACCGGCTGCCACTCGTCATCATCGCCGATAATGGGACCTAATTTACGGACAAGTGAGTGAGACTTCTGCATGAAGTAGAAGATTGATCTGAAGTTTACTTCTGTCCATCACCCTAGGACGAACGGGCAGACCAGGACAACTAACAAACTCATCCTGAACCTACTGAGGAAGAAGGTCGAAGGAGTCAAGTGAATTTGAGTGGATCTGTTGCCCTTGGTGCTTTGAGCAATCAAAACAACGCCATCTTCGGTGACCAACAAACTCCATTTATGCTGACCCATGAAATGGAGGTCATGCTATCAGTCAATTATGATCACACAACCAAAGGGTTGTTATAGCCTCCTTGTTTACCTAAGACGAATCGATTGAGTGGCAACAAACTAAAGTTGAAGGGGTGATGCTAGCCCTCGACCTTACAGAGGAAACTCGAGCCCATTCGACGCTCCGATAGGAGGGGATTAAGAGACGAACCGCCTGTTATTTCGACAAACATTTTCGGAAGAAGTCCTTCATCCCGGGAGATCTAGTCCTGAAAAACTTTAGAGAAATAGTTTTTTTTTTGTTTTGCTTTAAATATAGATACAATTTTATCTTATAAGGGATTCTTGCCCGATCTTAGGAAGAGTTCTTGTGATTCCTCTCCAATCAATCTTTGAAGATGAAGTAGTCCTCAATAATATGCTCTATTAAACTATAGCATGATTAATATCTTAGATGATTTTTCATTTCAACTTCTCCCGACTTTTTAGGCTCTACAACCTAAATTTTGATTTCTTGGTTGGAATTAGAAACATATTAGGCACAACCTCAATCTTAAACAGATAAATGTGGTTGAGCCTATCTTCTAAAGAAATATATTATTCGCCCTTGGGCCTACATTACCGCGATTGTGACTGTGACTACTATTGAGTATGTTGTTGATACTGTGTTAGCTGTTGATATTGTACTAATAATTGATAATGTGTTGATTGATATGACCTATAGTTTTGCTACTGTTGAGAAGACTACTCAAACTATGTATGAATCAATTATTTTTCATTGTTTATTATCAATATTTTCTTTGATTTCATCTCAAATCTTGTTTGAACTTTGGAAAAAGCCTCATTAGACCTATTCATGAAGGTAATATGCTTAAATTCTTCTTATAAACAAGTTGCTTTTCTAAGTTGTGTTTCAAATGTCTTTATCAAGAATCCTTAAATAGAAGATCCACTGGTCTATGAATGTTTTTCAAGAGAATTTCTATTGCATGCTGCCCTTGTAATATGTGATTCACACTTCATGCTTGAATTTCACCACCACAAAACATAATCTATCAATGTTTCTCTAAGTTTATGTTATGTTTGTTGCTGCTAAGAATGTCCTGCAGGAGTTTCCGTGAAAGGATCTTTTCTGGAATTTATCCTCTAGCCCTCCAATTATAGAAGGATTAAAAAATGAGTTGTACTTTTTAACAAATATATGGTAACTTTCCAACTCTGAGGGTTTAGCTAAAGTTTTAAACTTTTGCAAGCCAGGTACCTATCCAAATGAGCCCTCATGTTGGCCCAATGCAAATTCTGCATCAGTGTTGGTGGGCTCAAGATATCTAACCTCCAATATCTATCATTTGAATCAAGTTATAAAACTCCTTGAACTTTCAGATGGACCCTGCTGGATCATCAATAATGCTTGAGAGTTCTTCTATAGCTTGTGAGGGCTGACAAATTGAGCCACAAATGTTTGCTTAAACTCGGTTAATTGAACCATCACAGAGTTCAATTTTTGATTTCATAAGAAACAAACAAATTTTAAGGGCATCATTTATTTGCAACAAACATACTACCAATTCAAAAGAAACTGTATTGTCAGTGGGATCCATCCTTCCTTTATAGGAGGCTAAGGAAGGGATCTTGTACGGATCTTGTACTTCATGAGTGATTCAGCTTTAATCTCTTTCGAGAAAGCATTCTATAATGACCTTCTTCTTCTTCTTCTTCTTCTTCTTTTCTCTTCATCTATGGAAGACCCATAAGTATTCTCTCTAGGGATGTGTAGTTTGTTGTTTAAGTCTTCCTCCTCTTTTAACGTTGGAGTTAAGTCTCTCCTTATTCTAGTCTGCAATAATTCCTCTTTGGAAGTTGATATCCTTGTGGTTCACATCTTCGTGCTATCGATCCTGAAGATTCTGTGTGACTTCTAGACTGATCTTTGGAACGAGTTTTCTATACCTTTTGCCTTTCTTCTTCTACCATTTTTTTGTGTTTCTTCTCTTACTTTATTCATCTCTTGTAACACAAACTCTCGTGTGCAATCCATAGTTTCCCTTTATTCTTTTTTGTCTCAATGATATCTTTGCCAGATCAGAGTAAAAATTTCATGCTCACCATCCCTTCTAGGATGTTGAATCTTTTTAGAACTTAGGGTCCCATATTGTCTGTGAGTTCATAGAATCTGGGAGAGGCCTTGTGAAGGAGGTTGCAGGGAGCTGAGGATTTTAGAGTGCATGTGTTGTTATTGATGGTGGTGAGAAAGAAGTGAAGAGAGAGCCCCTCTTTCTTTCCCTCTCCCTCCTCTTTATATCTCCTAGAATGTACTTTCCCTCACAGAGCTTCAAGGAAGAAACAAATGCAATGTTGCAGGTTGTGTTGTATGAGGTCTGTCAAGACTCATTGTTTATTAAATCCTAGGTGTGGATATCATGTGTGCAATAAACAGGCATAAATGATGATGGGGCATAGTTTTCTTTCCTTTTATCATGAAGGACTGTTAAAAAAATTTAATGACATAGTTTAATGGATGGAGCTTCGGTCGAAGAGTTTGATAGGTGTAGACGAAATTGATAGAAGGGCTCAAGGAGTGTGGACAAACTTGTTCGGAGAAGCTCGCATGAATACCATGTATCGACAAGTTCTCACAGAGGAGCTCATGTTAATACTGCCACCCTTGACAGAAGAGTTCGCCAAGTCCTTATGAGAGACCAGTCTGGTACATGTCACCTCAATGGGTATGACTAGCATGTTCATTCGGTCCAATCAATATCAGTACTCTAATTTCGTGGTGAATGCGCTCGATTCATTAAGCCCAGAAGACCCATATAATGTCTAAGTTTTCCTATTATTTTAAAGATCTATTTTTGGATGTACAATACTATAACTTAATCATATACAAGAAACAATTGAGTTGAAATAGTGTCAGCATAATATGAAAAGGACAACATACTTGATTGGTACTAAACAAAAAAGAAGTACTAGCATTGAACCTCTATTTTTGTTAGAAGAAAGATAAATCTCCTCATTAAACATCATAAACTTGATTTTCTCTAATTAAGCTCAAATCTTATTCATGTTTTCATTTATGATAACCTAATTAAAAATTTTTTGTATTAGGCTAAAATTAAGACTTATTATATTCAAAGTTGGCACATCTATTTTTAGATTTTTGTGTTTTTTGTTTTTTTTTTAATTTTAAAATAATATTTTTATTTCTTGTATTTTAATTAAATTAAAAGTTACCTAATTATGTTCGAGTCTAACTCGAATTTAAACTGTCTTGAGACCACTTAATCTAAGTTAGACTAGCATGTAAATCTGATATAATTTAGAAATATGAATTTATAATTTTGAAAAAAAACAAAAATTTCCATAATTTCATTACTATTAATAAGAAAATACCCAATGAAAAATGTCTCATTTAATTTTTTTATTTTTTTAAGGGGTGTTTCAAAGCATACTTTTAACCAAATATAGTCATGAATTTATTATAAATCGAACCAAACATTAAAAATAAGAAATTTAAATCCTACACTCCGTTAAATCGAATATTCGCTGTTTTCATCTAATTTTTGACCTAAATATGAATTTACTTACAGTCCGTTTGGGGCAGCTTATTTGATGCGGTGACATTTTGAAAACGCACCTGACCTATTTGGGTAAACTACGTTTTGACAGCTTATGCGTTTTCAAAATGCTAAAAACAGCATTATCATATCGAACCTCTCTAGATGCGGTGACAGCTTTCTGACAGTGGTTTGATTTAAAAAAAAAATTATAATATTCACCGCACCTAACTTATCAACAAATTATTTTTAATCTAAATTATAATATCCACCGCACCTAACTTATCATCAAATTATTTTTAATCAGCTTATCAGTAGATTATTCAATAAGTTACAGCTGTCCCAAACAAACCCTTAATGTCATTCACATAGGATTTAAGAGATCTGGTTTGCGAGTATTTCTTCGTCAAAAGATAAATCTCATAAATTTATATTTATCGGATTTACTAAATTCTACTTAACGTAAATTCAAAATGCTCCCAAACACCACTTATTTATAATTTTAAAAAAATATTAAATTTCTAATCTCATATAGATTCCAATATGTAGTAAATTCAAAATGCTACCAAACACCGTCTAAATGTGCTTATTTATAATTTTAAAAAAATATTAAATAAAATTATTAAATTTCTAATCTCATATAGATTCCAATATGTACAAAGGATGCGCAGAGAAGCATCTCAAAATTTCCTCTATCATGAACGCATCGGATCCCGCATAGAATCCAATGCCGTATGCTTTGGATACCCCGTGCGACCCTCACCCACACCGCACCCAAACTTTCACCCCACACACACGGCAGCCTACCGGGCGAGCCCCTTTTCCTTGTTTGAATTCCAATGGAGGGCTCCTCCCCCCTCATTTGAACTGCAGCCGAGCGCTTCCCTCCTCCCATTCATGGAGATGCGCCCCTCGAAGCTGCTGCTCTACCTCTTTTGTGGATTTTTGTAGTCTGAGGGAAGGGAAAGGTTGTTTTCTTTCTCTCTCGGTTGATGGCGACGGCATCGGCTTCGTCGTCGGAGGCCATTGGGGCGGCTAAGGCCGAAGCTTCCGGGGGAGAATGGCCGACGATGGATGAGCAGCAGCATGGTGTTGTGCTGAAGAAGGCTAGGAAGGAGAGGGTCTGTACGGCGAAGGAGAGGATCAGCAAGATGCCGCCATGCGCTGCCGGGAAGAGAAGCTCCATCTACCGGGGGGTGACTAGGTATATCTCTTTCTCATTAGTAGTGGATTTTTCTTGAGGGGTCCGATTTGCTCTGTGGATTGTAGTGAGTTGGAAGGGATCGATATGAGCTGAATTAGAAGATTGCAGGTGAAATACATGATAATTAGGCAACTTTGTGGTTGTTTAAAATTCTGGAAATCATTGTGGGAGAACTAGTGGAGGCTCACAACTTCAGATAATGAGGAGGGGAGGAAGCAGTCATTCTTTACATAATCCTGATTCTTTCTAAGGAGGAGCATATATAGCATTAAATAAGGCCTATTAATCATCTATTATTACATGTAATACGTAAAATTACATTCCTCTTCACAATGGCTGCTCTTAATGTCGAGCAAATCGGTGGAGGATTTGGTGGCGGCAACTCTCAATTTGGTGACGTTAAAATCAACTTGAAGGCAGTTTTAGATCCAAGGATATGGGCATGGAGGTGGCAAGATCTAGCAATGGAGAAGGAATCAGTGCTTGCAAGCTTGAACAAGGTTGGGGCTGACATATTAGGTGAAAAATAAGTGGATGGAAACCATATCTAGTTGTTGATGGAGATGGTGATGTTGGCGTCTACAATGGTGGGGGGGTTGAACATCACTAGAGGGTGCCAGAGATTTGTGGCTTGAATATTTGAGGTGTTCAAAGATGGGAGAAGGATTTGGTATGGGAAATGGGGATCTAGAAGATAGAGGTGAAGATCAAGGGCAGTGCCTAGCAAAAAGTTTGACAACAGTATCATTTGATGCAAACTAAATTTTAAAACTCTAGAATAATAGAGGAAACTAATAACACACGTTATAACTACACAACTTTGAGCTTGCATAAAATGCCAAAAATCATCAAGGGAGAAGAGACAGACAATTAGAGGATGCACACAACTCCACCTCTTGGGGCAGGGTAGGAGCATACAAAATCTTTATTCTCCTAAAAGAGGCATTTTAATAACAATAAAAGACCCATAGGACTTATCAACATATATTAACTATCTAATACCTAATATTAACCTATACCCACTTACTATATCTAACGAAGAAACAAAATAAACTACAAAACAATAGATATTAAACAAAATAAGTGGATACTTAGGCAATTTTGAATTTGCCTAAAACTCCAAAATCATTGAGAGACAAGAGACAATAGACAAGTAGTTAGAGGATGCTCATAACTCTAGGTATTAGTGGAGAGAGAGAGAGAGAGAGAGTAGCCAAAACTTAGTTTATTCATTTTGGCATAACCCTGATTCTCCCTATGGAGGGGTTTAAATAACGTAAGAATATCTATCGATCTATTTTGACCTATCAAACACCTATTAACTTTATGATATTTAATATTAACCTATTTACTAATTGTTGCTTTTATTACCTAACATAGATTTTGAGCACATGGAGGATTAAATCCTTGTTTAGGGAATGGATTTGACATGTCATATGATGTCTAATATTCGTAATAAGGATTTATCATTTTTGTCACTATATAGTGTAATGCAAATTATTATAGCTTTACAAGATCTATGGAACATATCAACATATATTAATTTTCTAATACCTAATATTAACATATAACCTACTTATCACATTTAATAAAAAACAAAAAAAATAATAATAAAAATTAAACAAATTACTTAGGTATGTAGGTATGATACAAGGATGGTTTGTGATAAAAGTTCAAAATTGCCTAAAACTCTATAAAACATTAAGAGGGGATATAAAACTAATGAGTGGATGCTCACAACTCCAAGTATCGAGGGAGAGAGGGGACATCTGAAGTTTACTTCATTCATTTCACGTAACCTTTTCGTTAAAGAGGGTATATATAGTAATACAAGACCAATGAAACCTATGAAACACCTATTAATTATTTAATACATAATATTAACCTATAACTTACTTATTACATTTATTACCTAACATGGATCCTCAAAGAATTGAGGATTAAATTCTTGCTTAATGCATGAATTTTTTTTTTTAGGGCATGGCATATGGTTTTGGATTTTCATACGGGAGATTTATTATTTTGTTAATGTACACCATAATGCAAATTATTTACAACATTATTGAACCTATAATCAACACATACTAACTATTTAACACCTAACATTAATCTAAAACATATGACATTTAATGAAGAAATAAAAAAAAAATACTAAAAGTAGAAATGAAGCTAAATACATTAACAAGTAGGCAACTAAATTCGTCTTAAATTGCATAAATCATTGAGGGAGAAGAGGCAAGCAATAGAGGTTGCTCTCAACTCTAATTATTGGGGGAGAAAGTCAAAAGTTTAATTCATACATTTTGCGTAACCCTCACTCTCCTTGACAATGGGCTATATATAATATTACACGACCTATTAAACATCTATTAACTCTTTGATACGCACATTAACCTATAACCTACACACTACATTTTTTATGTAACATGATTTTTAGGCTCATTGAGGTCTAAATACTTGTTTAGAACATATATTTGATTTTCTGAGCATGACATTTGATTTTTTATTTTCTTACCAAGGATTTATTATTTTGTTACTTTATATCATAATGAAAACTGTTTATAATAATATGAAATTCATGGTGCTATTAACACTAATTAACTTTCGAATACCTCATATTAACCTACAACCTACATATTATATTCAATGAAGAGATACAAAAAAGAAACTACAAAGAAATAGAAATTAAACAAAATAAATGGATAAATTTGTAGCTTCAGATTTGCCTAAAACTTTAGAAATCATTGACAGAGGAGAGAAACAATTAGAGGATGCGCACGACATTTGGTATCGAGAAAGAAAATGAGCATCTAAAGTTTAGTCCATTCATTTAGCATAATTCTAATTATCCTATAGTATACATAGTTTTACAAGACCCATAAAGCTTTCTAAACAAAAATTAACTATCTAAAACCAAATATTAACATATTGCCTTAACTCCCAAATAACTTGTGCAGGTGCAAATTGTGAAATGTTGGGCGTGTGCATGCAGTTACCAGGAATGTGTGTATGTGTGTGCGTGCAGTTGTGAGGAACATGCACGGGGTCCTATAGAGCTATAGACATACACAACATTTCAATGTAGTTTACAAGAGATGTTCATAGGTTTGTATGTAATTGACAAGGCACTTGTGTGTAGACATATATGATGTGTGAGTGTTGTTACTCAGATGTATGCAAATTAAAATGACGTATATTAGTACTTTCTTGTACTCGATTGTGATTTTCAGCATCCATGTAGTTTATCGGGATATACATCTTTATATGCATATAGCTGCTAGGATTTTTTGCAAATGATGGGAAATAGTACTTGCATATAAAGGCATTAAGTCGTTAACGAGCTTGTCAAACTCATGCTTGTTTATTAAACAAGCTCAAGTTCAAGCCCGTCAAGGCTTTACTCGTCTCACGAGAAGGCTTTACAAATTAGTTTTCAGTTACGTTGATGCCTTTTTTGATAAACTGTCACGACACTTTTTATTTTCTCTCACCATCAATTTCTTAGATGACTTTTTCGATGAGCTCCTATAACAATTTCATTCGAGCTTGCGAGCCTGCTATTAGTATTGTGAGCCGAGCTTGAGCTCGTCATTTTAGTTCAAGCCGAACTTAAGTTTGTATTTTGACAAATGAGCCAAGCTCAAGTTAGGCATGACTCAAACCTAGCTCGAGTCCTTTACACCCTTAGCTTGCTCTAGTGTTCATAGGCTAGAAATTGTCTATTTGTGTTCCTGTAAGCCATTAGTGTTTGTAAATTGTATACTTTTTTTTTTAATATGTTATGAATTTTGTGTCCTTAGAAATTTTTACTGACTAAAATGTTTGGATATTACTACGAGGACTGAGTCTTTTCTTTGTCCCAAATATCTATGAATTTTGTAAAATGTGGGATGTTTACATTCTCGAGCAGTCTAAATTGCAATGTAGGTGGGTTGTACTGAATCAGGTAAATAAAATAAAACTAGTGAAGCTTTCATGGATTGGATGCTTGTTTGAGCTGTCTAATGTTTAAATAGGTGAAAGAAGAGACTGAAAGTGTCATAAGGATCATTATCTAAGATTTATAACAGAGTCTAGACTATCTAGCTGGTGAGTAGTAATAAATTATGTACATGAATAAAATTGGTGAACCTTGTGACGTGAGACAGTCACCATCATGAATTAGATACTTTTTTGAGCTATCTAAGTGAAAATAGAGATTGCAAGTGGATCATTATGTGAAACTACATGGTCATAACCACTGCTTGCAATGTACACTTTCTATTGTAACAGTTGCACGCATGTTATATCTCCCATGCTTTTAGTTTATCAGATGTGTAGAAACCTTAAAATGCTAATGCGGGACCATTTTGCATTACCAGGCCATGTAAGGTGTTGAATGTCTAGCCGTTCACTGCTACACTTGCATAGTGTCAGCCCTGCGAAGTATAGACTGGCATATTATTCCATGTTTAATCATGTTGACTTGGTGATGTTGCTTCCATTCTTCCTTTTCAACACCAATATAATTGAATCTTCTATCTTATTTGAAGAATAGGCACAGATGGACGGGAAGATATGAGGCCCACCTTTGGGATAAAAGTACTTGGAATCAAAATCAAAATAAAAAGGGTAAACAAGGTATGTTTTTTTTTAGAGCATCAACGATATAAAATTTTGTAGTTCATACTTTCAAATGATTTATTTTTTTCTTCATTTATTATTTGGCATAGTATTGTCCCAAAACCCAGTTTGTGTTTTCAGGATATCCTTGATTTCTTAGGCTGAGTTTTCTTCATCCTCATGACACACGTTCATGCTTTCCAGATGCACTGAAATGCATTTTTATCAATCTAACCTGAAATTATGAGATAATTTTTGTTGTGTTCTAGTCTTCGAAGTTACTGGTAATCTTTACCGGTTTTAATATGTTATTTCTTTATTTTTTTGTGTATGGATATTGGTCGATGCGTGGTCTGCCTGTTCAGTCTACTTAGGTAAGCCTTTTTACCTCATGTTATGCATTAAAGTAGTGTAATTTACAGTCGTGAAGTATAATAATTAAAGTATTTATTTATTTATTTGTTATCTAGGTGCATATGATGATGAGGAGGCTGCTGCTAGAGCATATGATCTTGCTGCTTTAAAATATTGGGGCGCTGGAACTCTCATTAATTTTCCTGTGAGAAAAATCTGAAATACTTCTATGGTTATTGGCTTTTAGATTTCAGTAGGGAACTCTACCATGTTGAAAAAAAAAATGAAACCATGAATTCAATAGCGCAAACTGTAAACGTGTTTTTTCTTCCAGATTTTAGGGATTATCATCTGTTCATTTGGTATGTTTAGGGTAGACTTGGTGGAAACACGTAGTCATTTGTACCTTTCATTTGCAGGTTAGTGATTATGCTAGAGATTTGGAAGAAATGCAAATGGTTTCAAAAGAAGATTATCTTGTATCCCTTAGAAGGCAGGCATTTATATTGGGAAGTTCTTTATCCCATTTTGTTCTTTGAGATATGACAAAAAGTTTGGTTCTTGCAGAAAAAGCAGCGCCTTCTCGAGAGGGTTTACTAAATATCGTGGAATTCCAAGGTATATTTTCTTTGTGAAATGTCATGTTGTTTGTTACGGAAGGCGTTAATATTTCAAGGAAGGCTTCAAATTTCATGCTCAGCATTTTTTCTGGGAAAGTCCTGCTTTTTAAATGTAAGGATTTGATGAGAACCTGATTTTCATTTTTGTTGGACTGTGCTTCATACAACCTGGTCTCCAAAAAAAGTTTAGCTTGAATAAATGAAGCACTCTATGAATATAACTGCATTATTCGTAAGATGTATGATTTCATCAAGAATTACTCACTGTGCTGTACTAGTCTTCATGAATGTTCCTCTGCATGTTCATATAATCGGATTCTCAAGATAAAGGTCACAAACTGTTACAAACGTCGAGTAATTCTTGATTTTTGTTACAGCACAGTGAGTGATTCTCAAGATAAAGGTCACCTCTGCACTCTATGTAAGAATTACTCACTGTGCTGTACTCAACGTGCAGGATGGCAGCAAGGGCTAATGGCATAGGAAGATTCAAACATCCAACATAAATAAGCACCTAAATCCAATCATGTTACAAGCATATCACTTAAGAAAGATTAAAGATACAACACTCTCACAAAGAAATATTACAGAAAAAAATCTCTAATGCATAAATCAAAACCAAAATGTATCAAAAATAAAAGTTCACGATATATTTAAATATCCAAAGCAAAAGAAATCCTAATTAATAACCTAAATAAGTAAATTGTAATCCTAAATGGGTCGGTCAACTCATTGGGGCTGATAAAAAAAAACCAGGCCCTCCCTGGGCCGTTTTTGTTTCAACTTGCTTGAGAGGCAGAACATGGGATGTTTTATCATTCTTTGGGGGGGTAGGAGAGGGATCACTGTATTTATCAGAACCATCTAGATCCTTGTATTATGATGCTAAATCAACAATTTTGATAGTGGTAGAAATGTTAGTCTTGCGGCTGATTAATCTTGTATGCATTATCATTAATTTTTTTGGAAATTATGAATCGATCATTAGCTCCAAGTTTGAGCTGCCTGAAAGAACCCGTGGGAAATCTTTCTTTCTTCCACTTGATTGATACTAAATCTCCTTAAAAATTTGAGATTTTCTAAACTTATTAATCTGTTTTTGGTACTTTGTGTTTGCTTTGGTTATTTTTTTTTCTTACATGCTCATAAAGTGCCCGAATCTCTTTGAAGCTAGTTTTGGCATCATTGTTAAGATCAATAATATAAAGTATCAATACTAGCTTTAAGAGTGTGATAAGATTCTGCCCATATACTATCTCGAAAGGGTTGCGGAAGCAAACTCAATCTTAGGAAAAATCAAGTCCCACTATTTGATATTTTTACCCAAGAAATTTCCGAGTAAATTACCTATGCTACGATTCACTTCTTTGGTTTGCCTTTATGGGTAGGCTATCGAAGTAAGTTAAAGCTTTGTACCAAGATTATTCCATAGAGTTTTTCAGAAATGACTCATAAACTTCATGTCCCTATTGTCATGAGCAAGCCATTCAGACAAACTATCTCCCTGAAATACAAGTCTGTAATTTGTAAAGCATCCATTATCTTGTGGCAAGGCACAATGTGTCATCTCGGAGAAATAATTCACAACTACTATAACATAATTTTATTTGGTTAGCTCGTGGCAAACCCACTACAAAGTCCATGCTCACATCCAATCAAAATGACTGGAACAAGAAGGGTAGTGTATAAATCTATCTTTTGTTTTTGATTCTTAACCAGATGATATACTTTACATTGCCACAACTTGTATTAATCTAGGCAAATAAAAAATCTCTCACTAATAAAAGAGCTTTATTCCTGTCAAAGTGTCCTGTCATGCCTCCATTGTGACAATCCTTTATTATAGCCTCACTTAGTGAACTCTTGGGAATGCAAAAATTATTTTAGAAGAATAAATAACCATCAAACATGTGACAGTGATCATAAGATATCTCCTAAATTGAGCTCAAATGTCTTAAAAGTTGTCACATGGGCATACTGACCATTCAACACTTAAAATCCAACTATAGTAGACTGCATTATAGAAATCCACTTATGATGGCAACTCAAGGCATCATCAACCCTATTTTAGCTCCCACCTTTGTGCTTGAGCACAAAATCAAAAGAAAAGGGGAATTCCACCCATGAGATGTGTCTATATTCTTGCTTGTTATGGCTGATTAAGAATCTTAGGGTCTTGTGGTCAGTATAGAGATTGAACTGGCTTGCCAATAGATAATGACTAGCTTCAATGCCTCAAAATTGGCCTGGGTTTCATCTGACCAAATGAATATGTCTAACTTGAGAAGTTTCATCAAGGCTGAAATTTCTAATAAATCTCTTATGAAAAGGGGTTAATCCATAAAATTGGCGTACTTGAGTATATGATTGTGGGCTGGGCCAGTTAATGATTGCCTTGATCTTGGCTGGATCTATCTCAATTTCTGTTGTTGATACAACATATCCAAGAAAGCAAGTCCTTGTTGTTTGGAAATGACACTTCTTTGAGTGACCATACAGTTGGGCTACTCAAAACACCTCAACATCTCCATCAATGTTATAAATGATCCTCCACAGTACATTTGTATAGCATAATATCATCAAAGTATTCAAAACGACTTTTTTGATGAATATTCAAAAAACCTGGTTCATTGGTCGCATACGTGTTTGTAGTGTTGGATAAGCCAGAGGCCATGACTGTCCACTCATACAATCCATCTCGAGTCTTAAAAGCTATCTTTCACTCATCTCTTGGCCTCATCCTGATATGGTGGTAACCACTGTGTGAATCGATCTTGGAGAATATGTTGGTTTCACGCAACTAATCCAATAAATCATCTAGGCTTGGAATGGGAAATCAACATTTGATTTTGATTTTCTTCATAATCCCTCTATCAATACACATACTTCAAAAATCCATTCCTTGGCACAATTAGAGCCTGAACTGCATATGGATTAATGCTCTCATGTATCAAGCCTCTAAACATCAAGTAAGTTGATTCTGAAACTCTTTGTACGTGTTTGAGCACATCCGGTTGACAAGTAGGGTTGGGAGAGCAATACTTGAAATGAAATCTGTGACATGTTAGATATCCCTTAGTGGTGACAACCTAGGAGATAGATTATCAGTCAGGTCATCCTGAAAATCTCTAAGAATGGGATGCACAATATTTGGTATCAGCCCCTTGGCTTCTCTACCTTTCTAATGGCACTTCTATCAAAGGAATTTAGTTGGATTTAACCTTAATCGAACCATATATTTTTCTGGATTTGATAAATTTGGATTTATAGGATTTATTAAATCCTATTTAAGTTAAATCCTGGGTGTAGCCAACCCCCCTAAAGCACACACTTCAAAAGAATTTCTTCCCATCAACCCCCCAACATTTGCTTTGCATCCACTACTATAACTTGGATATGGGTTAAAATTATGAAAATAACCTCTAAGCAACAAATGAGTTAAGATAGACATCAATAAGTTTTAAAGCCTTAGTGACAAGATCCAATAGTCTGGATATATTCTTTTGATGTTGCCATGTGTTTTTCTTCACAAAATGGTCAAAAAACTTGCATTTGGTGTTGATCGTTCTATCTGGTCCAAGCTCGAACTAGTTGTTTCAAAAGTGTGTTAACTAAGTGGTTGGGGCTTTGTAGGGATGTTCCCATGCTATATCTTACACCCTTTTTCTCAGATAAAAAGAAATGAAACTCTTTTTTGCATGTCCAACATGTACTAGAATGTGACTTGCACCTTTCAAGTGTATCCACAGGAGACTTTCTGCAGTTTTCATGCTTCCGACTTGTCAGTTCCAAACAGGATCCAACTCAGTAGTTTTGGCTCAAGTTTGATTGGTTTAGATCTGTTACACTTTGCTTTAGAATTTTGCTTTCATGCTCAGTTGGCACTTTTGCATAATTTTTCTTTTACACATTTACCTGAGTCTTGTCAGCCTTTTTCTATTCGTAGAGATGACAGGTCCTCCTTTTTATATGTTGTATTTTGTACATTTGATTTTTTAACGAATGCAAAAATGCAACTTTACAAGGATGGCATTTAATAGTACTTAATCTATTTTCTTGGTTATTATTTCACAAGCTTCTGAAGATTATTTTAACTGCCGCTGAAATAAAATGTATGCTGGACAAGCAAATCTGATAAGCGGTTGAAAATGTAGTTACTTTTGTTAAAACTAGATCTGAGCTCTCTTGTAACAATTTGCAGGATCAATGTGTTTATGTAGGGATCCATGATAACAGTGGTTTTGCCATTTCTTGCCGCTGAAATAAAATGTATTCTGGACAAGCAAATCTGATAAGCGGTTGAAAGTGTAGTTACTTTTTTTAAAACTAGATCTGAGCTCTCTTGTGACAATTTGCAGGATCAATGTGTTTTTGTAGGGATCCATGATAACAGTGGTTTTGCCATTTCCATCCTTGATTTCTTCTTCTGTATTCTTTTTATGCATCCTTAACGTTACCCCAAAATTTTTGAAGTTTGATTTATGAATCTCACCCTCCATCTGTTCCCGTTAAATTCTTCACAAGTCATCACATATGTTTTACATAGATCTTTTTGACTTTTAAGTTATCTCCATTCTAATTCATTTTCTTTCTAATCCTTTGGTGTTAATTTATCTACAATCTTATTAATACTTTTTTGTTTTTGGGTGGTATATGCTCAAATGACCCATCTGTTTTACTATTTTATCTTCAACAGAGGCTCCCGAGCATCCCCACTAATATAAATTTTACCCTTCTATCCAACCTTCAATTCTATTCCAGCCCAGTTTTATTATATCCGAACTGCTTTCAAAATGTCATTAACGTCAATATAACCCACTCAGTTCCTTAACTCCATCTCTATTAATATTCACCATGGTTTTCCTGTACAGGAACTTGAATTTCCAACTTTCTGCTTTTGATTTATTTTCAGACAACCTCAGAGCACTAGATGGGAGGCACCTCCACCCTTTGGCCAAATGCTTGGAAGCGAATTCTACAGCTGCAGTGAGTCTACTTAACACCCATTTTCTCTGATTTTCACAGGTTTCTATCAAAAACAAAAAGGAAAACAAAAATAGCAACTTTCCCTTTTCTGAAACTCAACTCTGGTTCATCTTCTAAGGTACAAGTAGGGATCCAACCACAGAAGGGAAGTATGCAGGCGGTTTCAGCATGGAAAGAAAAATAGATCTAACAACTCATATTCGCTGGTGGACTCCGAAAAAATCGCGCCAGCCTGAGTCAGCCTCTACTCATGAGGATGTCAGCAGGGAGCTTCAAGCAGTGGAGAGCTCAATTCAAGCAACTGAGCCATACAAGCTTCCTCTCCTTGGCCTCCCACAGAAAGAGAAATCTCAGGTGCAGGGAACATCTGCTTGCAGCATATTATCCAGATCTGCAGCTTTCAAAAATTTCATGGAAAAAGCTTCACAAATCCAGGATGGTTCCAGCAGTAAAGATCCAGATCAGGGGAAGTCAGTTCCTCATTTCTTTGGAAGCAGTGAACTTGATAGCTCTGGACTTACCATGGGATTTGGTGAGCTGCCAATCCAAAGATCACAATACTCTCTGTCTCCTCTCCTGGCAGCTCCAATTAGGACAACTTGGAATGCTGTGGAACCCATTCCAGATCCTGTCTTTTGGACCAGTCTTGTTCCACCAACTGGACAGTCTCTCACAACCGCAGTTTCATCCCTGCCTACAAATCCTGTTCTTTAGGTATCATTTTGTGCTCTTAATTGCCTGTTTTATATCATGTCTGAAGCATATACAAGCAAAGGGGGTAGACTTTTCTTACCCTAAGCATGAATCAAAGTATTGTAGAATGATAATTTGAAGCCAGTTCTGAAAATGTATCTTGTATTTATATTAATAATGAAATGCAGTATAGTTGTGGTTTTATTTGAACTCTTACCCTACACTGAGCTTCCTCATGTTATGTATCTATTGATTTTAGATTTTGCCTTAGAAAGTTATGAGAGCCACAAATTTTTATAATTTATAAACTTTCCCAAATCGAAAGATTGACAAGTTTAGCAGCCAATCAGTTTTGTCGGTTTGATTAAGGTTCAAAATTGCTTCTACATGAAATCGAAGTTGAATTAGGGTTCAATTGTCGAACGGGTGAATTAAATCGATTTACTATGATCAGGTTGGTTCTAATATTGATCAATTTATTTTTTTTTTATTTTGATCATATGAATAAAAATAAAAAATTTTGATTAAAAATAGAGAAAATAATTAAAATATTAATTAGATTTATATTAAAAATATTAAAAATGGTGGTATCCTAAAATATTAATTAAAAGCCCTAACTAAGAGCTCAAAGCAATAACAATTAGGAAGCCTAATTAGAAATCTAACTATCTTTAGTATATCATAATAAATGGATGTGTTGGATTCTAACATGTTCATCAGTAGAGGGCCTATCACATCATAACAGCTCAACAAAATTATTTGGAGGCATTTAACATTTTTGTTTGTACTTCAATGATATAACCTATTAAACAAGTGTATAGAGGCATTACATGTGATCAATATCATACCTCGAGATTTGTGCTGGATGATGGAGATTTGTTGGACATGTATCAACATGACTATCAATTGTCTATGAGTTTTCATTTGACTTTAAAAACATGTCTAAGATAACATAGATTGGTTGGTTTGTTAAATATCTATTGATATTATGGATTTTAAAACTCAACATGGGCACAGACTTTCATAATTAATTACTTCTCCAATGGCTAAGAGAATACTTGATTAGAAAAGTTTTAATGTACTAATATTATTCCCAAATTTGATCGAGTTGGATATTGTTCGATTTAAGGAGGTTAACTCAATCAAAATTTCATAATTATGTTATTCTACTGGAATTATTTTAACAACGTGAAAGAATTGATACAACTTTGTGTGAGTCGAGCTAAATTTGAAAAAGAAGGTTTTAATTTCATGTTGATCTAAGTTTGAGCAAGGTCAAAGATGATTAGAGTCAAGTTATACCCTTCCATTAATTTTATATATATTTAATTTAATAATAAAATATTATCCTTCTTGTTATAATAGAACCCAAGGTGATTTTTATTGATATGAAGAGGGGTATAAATACCCATTACAAATCTACTAATAAGAAAATATATAAAAACAGAGTAAAGGGAAAAATGAAAGTAAATAAAAGCAAATCAAAGCAATTAATACAAAAATCAACATATTAATATTCTAATATTCTAATACTCCCCTCAAGTTGAAGCACTTGGCTTTGAAATCATCAAACAGTGACCGAGGAAGGTTTTTCGTGAGAATATCCGCTAGTTGACCACTAGATGACACAACCGAAACACAAATTTCTTCGGACTCGAGCTTTTCTTTAATGAAGTGACGGACAATCTCAACATGTTTGGTGCAATTAAGTTGGACCAGGTTGTGAGCAATGCTAATGGTAGCCTTGTTATCACTGAACAACTGCAGGGGAGTACAGGCTGTCATATGTAGTTCGTGGAGCATGAAGCGTAATCAAAGAGTATCACAAATTCCCAGAGACATGGATCGAAAGTCAGCTTCCGCACTGCTTCGAGCAACTACAAACAACTTCCTGCTTTTCCAAGTGACTAGATTTCCCCGTACAAATGAGCAGTACCCTGAGGTAGATTGACGATCATGGATGGACTCGACCCAATTTGTGTCTGTCTAAATTGCAATAGAATGAGAGGTGTGACAAAAAAAAAAAAAAACAAACATGAGCCCGATGTGCCTTTTAAACAATGCATAATCAGATAGATAGTTTGGAAGGTGGTGCTCATAGGGATCATGCTGTGTGGCATATGTCAGAGTGTGTATGGGAAAGATAGATGAGTTTCCTTACAAGGAGCTCATACTGTGTCAAGACATTTTTTATTGGGATTCATTGGAACAACCACTATTTTGCACAGGAGAAGATTGTTCTATGTCAAAAGGTCAATCACATATTTCCTTTGAGACTGACAAATATCCTGAGATGACCGAGCAACTTTCATGCCTAAAAAGTATCAAAGAGATCTCAAGTTCTTTACTTCAAAAGAAGCATCAAGAATGCCTTTCAGAGACTCCAATGCAGGTAGATCATTACCCGTAAGAACAATATCGTCAACATAGACAATAAGGATAACTACCTGACCACTAGAGAAATGTCAGAAGAAGAGAGTGTGGTTTGATTGAACCTGAGTGAATACATGGCCTACCACCACCTTTGTGAATTTTCCAACCATGCCCGTAGTGATTTCTTCAATCTATAAATGGATTTTTGTAGTCTACAAACTAGCCCATGGGAGGGAGTGGAGTCAAAGCCTAGAGGAAGAGCCATGCATACCTCATCTACATGATAGGAATTTAGGAACACATTCTTAACATCAAACTGAAATAAATATCAATCTAGATTCACTACAAGGGATAAGAGGACTCGAATGGTATTTAATTTAGCAACTGAAGCAAATGTCTTCTCATAGTTAACTCTGTAGGTATGTGAGTACCCTCTGACGACTAGCTATGCCTTGTTGCATTCAAAGGATCCATCATATTTAAACTTATTTTCCTCGAAGAAGATTAATAATGTCCCAAGTAAGTTTCCACTGAAGGGCATTCATCTCCTCCATGACGGCATCTTTTCAGGTTGGGTATGCTAAGGCAGCCTAAATAGTAAATGAAAGGTGATGAGTGGTCAGGGCCGTAGCAAATACTCTATAAGCTGATGATAATTTGTGAAGAGAGACATAGTTTGCCATGAGATAGAGAAAGAATGTTTAAATACGTACCTTACTAGAGGATATGACTTCCTCATTTAGCGTAGCAGTGTTGGGAATGTTGTCCAGAGGGGATTCAAAGTCCAGTCAGTGGTCAACGAGCTTTAGTGTAGGTGCATCAGGATGCGGGTGTCGAGTGTAGACTCAAAGAGTGGGAGGATGTGTTGGTGGGACCAAAGGGCCAGAGGGTTTCTTGGTTGTAAAAGATGTGTATGGAACCAAATGAACATAGTGTTCCTCGATGGGAGGTGATGTGGGGTGAACATCCACAGAGGTATGGTAAGGAACATTGTCCAAGAATTCTAACTCTCCCTCACTGGAGGTCGAGTTAGGAAAGTAGGGAACATTTTCAAAAAAGGAGACATCGGCACTCACAAAGACCTTATTTTTGGTAGGGTCAAAGCACTGATACCCTTTTGAATGGCAAAGTATTCGAGGAAAACACATTTTATGGAACTGGGATCAAGTTTATTGCAAGTTGTGGTTGCGTTCCGGAAAAAGGCTATGCATAAAAAAAATTTGGGATGTAAAGCAGAGAAGACCTGATTGTTAGGAAATCATGATTTTAAGATGGTTAAAGGGGTACGAAAGCTGTGAATTTTTTAGGAAACTCTTTTGATGAGATAAGTGAAAGCAAGAATGACATCATTATAGATACAATTTATGCATTATGGTGAAATGTAACAGAGCGAGTAATGTCGATGAGATATAGGTTTTTCCTCTCGGCTATCTTATTTTGTTGAGGAGTGTCAGTAACTGAGCTATGATTGAGGATGCGCTTACTTACCATGAATTCTCTTACCATAGAGTTAAGAAATTCACGACCATTATTAGTCCAAAGTACTTGAATAGAAGTTTTGAATTGGGTCAAAATGAAGGTGTTTAAAATTTTGAAAGTAACAACAACTTCAAATTTATCTTTTAAAATATAGACCAACGTCATCCAAGTGTGGTCATCAATAAAAGTAAGGAACCACCATTTATTGATGTAGCTAGGAGTGTGAGAGAATCCCCATAAGTCACTATGGATAAGAGAGAAATACATATAATATGTGAAATTGTGGGGTAGATAAGAAACACGATGATGTTTAGCTAACTGACAAGTTCACATTTGAAATTAGAAGACTTTTATTGGTTAACATCAGATAATAGAATTATATTAGATACTGAAAACTAGGATAACCCAAACGATAGTGTAACAACAAAATAAGGCATTTAGTGGACTATGCTAAACTGCAACTACTGGGTGGAGTGCCCTCGTTTTCCGTATTTTTCTCTTAGAAGAAGTCCACCTATCCGCTTAGCAGTTCCAATCCTCCTCCTCGAAAGACGATCTTTAATGACATAAACATCAGAGAAAAAAATAAGCAACACAATCAATGTCATATGTAACCTTACTGACAGATAAAATGTTACACTTCAGTATAGGTACATGTAACACAGATTCCATAGTTAGATCTGTTTTTAAAACAACAGATCCTTTACTAACAATGGAACTTTGGGACTTGTTAACAATTTTAAGAATATCTTTCCCCGAGAAAGGATAGTATGTTGAGAAGGCTTGAGAACTTCTAGTCATGTGATCCGTGACACTTGTCTGAATCACTGATCCATGGACTAGAAGGGGCTAAAGAAGTGAGTGTTATAGGATTGATACCATGATGAACATGGGAGGTCGACGGGTCAGAAGAGAGTGAATTAGATCCAAGCAGCTTAATTAAGTGCTCCATTTGAATTTTAAGAGATTTGGAGGATTTTGATTTTTTTTGGGTAGAGGCCCGTTGTACTGTGTTGGATTCAGAAGCTGTAGTGAGACCCTTGACAATAAAAGATTTATCTGAAAGTTTGGATTCAAGTTTCCTGTGGAGCTTCCAACAATTATCACGAATATGGTTGGTTTTTTTACTGTAATCACAAGTTGGGTTACCAGCCTGGGGTTGAGCATTATTAGAAACCAAGGTGGATACTTCAGTAGATAGAGTGGACACACCAAGCAAGCAAGCTCCAACTCTCTTCACAACGAATCTCACTGAAAGTAGCACGAGTAGAAGGAAGAGGGTTTTGGCCAAGGATACAACCCTTGACTCCATCAAGCTCTTTGTTGAGGCCTGCCAAAAATTGGAACATGCGGTCCTTT